TTAAAGAACACACTTACAAAAGATATAATTACAGATATCCATTGAATTACTAGGCTATTGAATTATGAATTTGCTTTCTACACAGAAGYCAGRACTRAAAATGATYGAGTGGCAGGGRAAACCAGGAAACTCYAAATATCTGGCCATGAATGTTTTTTTTATTGAAACAATTATTAGCCTTTTGTTACCAACACCCTCTAGTCCAATTAAATAATGTAACTATTCATCATTTTCATAAAATTCATCATCAAACCTACAGTTCATTGCACATCAATCTTACTTACATTACAGCAGTATTACAACAGAAATTCTTAAAAACAATAGGCCTGTGAACAAAAATTAAATCATCAAGTTTGCAGTTGTCAAATATAAAACAAACGAATATAATAAATTTTGTGATTTTCAGTCGACTGCAAAACGACTCCATACTTAAAAGTGTCCATACTCACTTATCACATATCAAACAAATATGGAACTCAAATTTTTTTTATTAATGAACTTAGTTTGACAAATCTTTCACAGTCAATTGAAAATCACTCTACATGTACAACAACGTCACAAATCCCATGAAATACACTATTAGTCTACATCTTTCCCAATTGGTTTTCTTAAAGTCGCAAGTCTTAACCCATCAAATACATACTGAGATTACTAGCCAGTGGTACATCTTTATTGCTGGATTTCCTTTGCTTTAAATATTAAGGAATTACACACTAACATTGAGCTAGTGTTTTTTTTTTTGGGGTTAATTATAACAAAAGCCCTCACTATACTATTATTGAATACATTTATATTCTATTCTACACTAACTTTACCTCCAGGAAAATCAGATTCTGTATAAATTTTGTAGAAAAAGGTTGATTTGTGCAAACCAGCCTTTTCAGCTGTCTGCTATAAGCATAATTGACTTTAGTTGATGGCCAAGATCTAAGAGGAATTACCTAAAAGATGATCTTTATGGCAAACCTTTACCAAACAAGCATTGTATGTAATACACCTAAGTCATCCTTAGCAGCATGGCTACAAATGTCGTTAAAAATTATTAGTAATTAATTGGTTAATAGTCCTATGACAGTTGTAGCCATGCTGTATACATAACATAAGTTGCATTCTGAGTTCTGAGTAAAAGTTGTGTTGAGTAAATCAGCCTTAATGGTTTAATACCAGAAACCAATGTAAGATGTGAAATTTTATTTTTTTACATTTCGTAGAGATAACAAATGGCATATTGTATTTGATAAAGAACAGTAAATATCTAGAACCGGTGATGTCCTTCTACTGTCTGTACAACACACTGACAGACATATTCCGACATATATTATGTCATTAGTTCATGACGTTACATCTTCTTGAAACAGATACAAGTTATTAGTTGCAGCTACAGCGATGATGTTTTCTTTGGGGTGCCAAGCTGTATGTAGGATCTTTTTACTGAAATCAAGACATTCAACAGTGATATCATCCTTCTTTCTTTTTCCAGTAACAGCAACTCTTCTTGGCTTAAGCACTTGCTTTGGTTTGCTGGATTCACGGCTGGCTTCCAGGCATAAATCATTCTTAGACTTACGGTCAAATATATGAAAGAAATTATTGTATGACCCCGTCATTATTGACCTGCAAACAAGCAACGTTATATAAGCATAACGATATCATAATGACAAACAAAATGATTAGTAGCATTTATCCAGTGTTAAATCATTATTATAGTCAATTTTTATACAGTATCAAACACTCATATTCCAAACAAAACTGTTTCATTWGAAAGGGTTGGTTTTKTCTGTTAAGATTTGCAACTATTCCCATGTKAAGTTCTAGTAATGGACTAAATTTAACAAATTTCAATACTTACGTATCATCTCCATTCCAAACACATTCAAACTTATCGAAGATGCAGTCGTTTTCATACAGCGAACATAATTTACTCCTGAGATAATCATGGACACTGTAAACCTCRACAGGTTGTTTYTCCATGTTTAAGTCCCAGACTTTAACAGTCAAATAATCCCTAGTAATCATATAACGACCATTATGGCTAAATCTAACATCTGATATAGACGAGATGATCTCGGAAAAAAATGACCTAGTGGCAGGGTCTTCAGCTTCTTCAAATACTGCAAGGAAACAAAAGCATGCTGTCAGTGAATGTGCGACTTTTATTTTTAGTGCTGCCAATTAGCTCTTACATGAACAGACATGGACACAGTACAATAGGAATGCAATAACAGGATTCATTAATATTGGGAACTAGATTTAGTTTTTTTATTGTATTCTCCAGTTATGTTGTTGTTTGTTTTTTTGCTCTCTGTAATGACAGTGTGCGTATGACAATGTGTTCAAAAGCCAATACTTTACAAAACTTGTCTTACACACAAATTAAACAAAGTCTAATGAATAGCATAGGTTTTGGATTGAAATAGGAGCAAGTKTAATCTCTATCAAGCTTGCAAATTAAAGGGACACTGTCAATGGCACACATGCGCGAGTAAACTTGAAAACATTAGGCTAGTGTTTTCAAGTTTATGACTCCAAGTTGGCGCGACATAAATCAGCTCGTAAACGTAAACAGATCTAGAATATTCCAAAGGGTGTCAAAAGCACCACAAAATGATTTACCTCGAAGGTAATACTTTCAAAGTCCGTTAGAGGTGAGACTGTTACTGCGCATGTCATCCATTGACAGTGTCCATTTAATGTTTTACAAACAAATAAGATAACTTACACTTTGAATGGGTATCACATAATGCCTGTTGTCTCATATCACACAGTCTAACTGTCCCCTTGCTGCTGCTGTATACAAAAGTATTACACTCTATAGGGTGGAACTCTGCAGCTGTAATCACTTCAGTAAGTTCCTCCATGTTAGTAGGTTTAATATCAACAATATCTTAGAAAATTGTCAAGGAAACACATTCTAAATGAATTATTTGTTCTGCCTTGTCAAAATTAGATTTTTAATGAATTTGAGTAATTATTCTTCTGGCCATTTAATGTAAAAAAGATTGGTATCTGAGAGACAATTATGAACAACAAATATTATTTTTAAATACAACTGATTGAATATAAAGAGCATATTTGGTTTTAGTTTGCTTAAATTGAGGAAGCAGTATATGTTTTTATACAGCATGCTAGTGCTCAATAATTGTGGGAAATATTAAAACAAGAAATATAGTTGCAAATTATTTAATTTTCACAACAGATGTGCTTAAAGGCACATTATTTGTTTCTTCATTTCACAATTAGTAAAAAGATAAAATCAGATTAAAAATGGCCTTTCTTGCAAAGGGAAATCTTGAGTAATTAGTCAAGAAGAGCATAATGTAGATATATCTTTCCTACAACAACCTCTTATAAACCATTAACATAACAATACATTCTCAATAAGATATCTTATAACAAGGATACTAAAACTCTGTCCATTAATACCAACATGCCATAGATTAATCCTCAGATCATCAGCTGATAAATAGGTCTCGCAGTCACTGTTTACAGATATAGAATTGATATGGTACGTGTGAGCATTAGCATACACTCTTCTTGGACTGGCTTCAACAACGAGATCTGATGGCTTTAATTTTGGTATCCTCAATTCTTTGATTTCACTTGGGTCCCTTGGTATTCCTAGATCGTCTCGAAGGTTGAAATTACATGCCCTAGAATTTCTCTCAGATATTTTCCATAGTTTAATAGTTTTATCTGCAAAATAATTGGCAATACATCAATATGAAAGGCCATGAAATAGGCTAAATAAAATAGATTTGTCATGCACGAGCAACCAAACTCAATGTACGAATCAAACATTTCGTTAAGTTAATAGTGCTTTAGGGGGTAACAAAAATAACAGTGATTAAGGTCTTTAGCAGTAAAATGATTGATGCTGTCAGTTACATTTCAAAAATTTCAAGAATATGAATTTAAATATGTAAAAATTGGGATGCAATTTGGATAGGCTTCTAAAACTGAAAATCAGACTGAAGCACTTTATATTTTCAAATACATAATATTTTCGAAAATTGTGAAAACGTATACTGATATTTACTTCAGCTAAAATCGCTAACCTCTGATCCTGCGACAGCGCAATAATGTTGCTTTGCGTGGGATGTTAAACAAAATATTACATATTCTCCATGAAGATCAACTCCAAATTCAATATTAACGAATTATAAAGCGAAATACTCGAAGACGTGACGATCTAATAATTTACGCTTAATTACGTACATTTCATGTACAATATTATGTAAAAGATGTACAAATATGAAGCTAAATAAATCTTTTCTTAATAATCCAAATATATTCCTTAAATATATGAGTTTTTACGTACCATTGGTAGACAAGAGAAAGTGTGATGCATTTTGACGTTTCAACCACTTGATTTTATTGATTTTCTCTTCTATTTCTAAACTTTTTAGATAATCGAACTCCGGCTCGTGACTTTGAAAGGTACTATAAACACTGTATTCTCCATATCTGGGAGATCCCTTAGGCTGTAAACGAAAGAGAGTATTAAAAAATAAAGCAAAATCGGAAAAAGAGCAAAATTACACTTACCGCGTCGTCTTTTTGAAATATGACAATTCTCCCTCCCTTGTCGCCGGTAGCTAACAACTCTCCATCATGGTTGAACTCGACTGTTGAAATGATGTCCGCTGAAATAGAGCAAGCAAAATACACATTATAAGTTGCACCTTATGGCTAATTTAGATTTTAAAACAGAAGTATAAGACGACCACTAAATTCCGTCCCGATCAGAGACAGAACTGAAGGTCTTCTGTCACTGACATTTGACAAACATTTGTACAAAAGTAGTAACTACACTCTGGCAATATAACCATGCAAATCTTACCTTCGGACACTTCTTCTTCTATGGTCCCTTTTACTTGGGAAAAGCACCACTGCACTTCTCCATTAGCTGCGGGAAAAATATGCTATCAAGGTCAGCCCACCCAATTTTAGTACGAATTTTACAGGACTTCCGTTGGACAAAACTACAACACTTACCAACTGCCATTCTTTCAATGGGAAAATGCACATGAAAGAGACCTGGAAAATATATATTCTATTGAATTGACGACTAAAAATAAACGAATATAATATTGTTGGCCAGGATGGCCACAGATTGAATCACTACATGGATTCTACTTCGCAAAATCCAACATGGACGACACTCGCCGCCTCGACGTAGCGGGTATCGTGACGTCACATTGTGAAAACCGAACATGCCAAATATGAGTAACATAGCCAAATATGGAAAAGTCCTAGAAGGAAATAAAGGTTTAAAATCTCGGCGCCAAAAAACAAGGAGTGCCAAGCTCTTGACAGGTTAGTTCTTTGATTTTTTTGTAGCTCACAACTCTTGCATTTGAGTCAAGACAAGTACTCTCTAAAAATTGATCCGAAGCATATTCGTAAATTCCTTATCAATTACAAGAAAAATGACAACGATTCTTGTAAGTTCTTGTTAAATCTGCAATTTGCACCTTTAGACATATTGATTTCTAAATATCAAAAACTGATACCTATCTATTCAAAACAAATTATTTCTAATAACTGGAAAATACTTATTAAATTGTAAACTGTTCCTCATTGATTGCTAAGTTTTTAACCAAGATATTCAAAAACAAAGGAAAAGCCAATTATACAGTGGAAGTTGTCGTTTAATTTTTTTTAACTTCGTACAAGAGCGCACAACATTCAACTCTTAACATTTCTATTATTTCTCATATAATTCCGTTTGCTCAGGGTCTTTCCAGTTTCAGTTTTTCGATGCCTATCCTATGATAATATATTCACACCTTGGACAATCAGCTGTTTTCCCTCCTTTTTCACAGGGTTTCCCTTCTCTCCTTTATTCATTTATTTATTTTTTTTTTTTTCGTTCTTTTTTTACTGTTTAGTGCCCAGTCTCTTCTCATCACTCAAGTACATTCCTTATTTGGAAGTGGTAAGATCAAAGCAAAATGGCGCCCACCCAGGTGAGGAAAAATGTTGTGTTTATCCCTTTGTTTGCATTAAAATAAGCTAGTTTTCTCATAGTTCTAAACACTGAAACCTATTATACTTTACCGGGGTGTTTCTTGTGGCTTTAATGTGGCATTATGTTATTTTATCCCACAAAAATCAGGATCATGTCGACGAGAATGCTCGAGTCTCCAACAAAGTTTACTTGCAACGCGATTATTCGAGAGGAACAGCTTGTCGTTTTCAGAATAAATTCCCAACAGAGTTAAAAAATCGGGTAAGTTCATGGCTTATGTGTTCAATTAGTTGCCATAATCGGAAATTTTCGCGGTCTAGCTTTAATGTTTTCTGTGTTTTCGCTCCTATACTACCAATCAACAAACTTATAATTAATTTTAATTCGCTTTCCTGGCTAGCTTTTCTAGTGATGTTTACTCTCAAAATAACCTTTATGAGCACAATGAATGCGTTGGAGTCTATATTTGTGTAGTGTAACTTTATTATTATCTATTATATTCAATGACTTGTAATTTTGTTTATCCAGATCATGATAGGTAATGATATACAACGTAATGATTTACAAAATATATACTTACGGACAAGCCTATAGTTTTAACTTACGTATTTTCTAGAATTAATTGAAATAGCAATATTAGGTGAAAAGAATGAAACATAAAAAACAGTACAAACACCATTAACAAGTGTTTGAGCAAACAAAAAAGCAAGAAATACATCAAAGGGACGATCAAGAAAGCTCGGTATTCATCAAGGAAAAACTGTTTTATACATGTATTGTATAACATTGGTTTTGCCCTGAATAGGCCATTTGCATGATGGCGTAACTTTACTACAACTACCAGAAAGCCTTGCGCATTTTCTTTGTT